AAAGTCGGTATATAACGCCTGTTTTTTCTTGTTTAGGGATAGCTTTTTCGGCTGCATTACTTGTTGCCGGACTGTGGGCCATCCTTACTCAGGGGGGCGCATGTGATCTAGCCCCGTTTTTGGAGACCACTATCATGTACGGGATGCCTCGCCACAACTTTGGTGGGTAACCCTCCTCGGTGCGCGTTTTGGTGGCATTCGATTTTCTTAAATAAACGCTCGTAGGTAGCCATTTGCGAAGTGTTTGTTGGTTTAGGATAGATCAAAGTCGTCATTTTGCCGTCCAGTTGGTGGCAGACGAGAAGGTCCAACAACGGAAGGCTGCCCTCACTTGTATCTCCATTGTGAACTGTAACTCGGTAAAAATCGAGCTCAATCGCTGATTGTAGTGGTTGATGACAACGACACGGTCGTTAACGTAGCGTGACCACAATGTACGTTCGTAGTCTTCGATCATCTGTCCCTTGAATTTTTATAGCAGCACCTCAGCAATGAGCTCAGAGACTGGTGAGCCCATTAAGGTGTCCTTGATTTGCTCCTATATTATTGTTTCGAAGGTAAAGGAGGACGTTAGGCAATGCCCCATGGGTTCCATGATATCCTGAGCTGTCCGCTTATCTTGTTTCTCATCTACATCACGACACAATAAACCTTTCCCACTGAATGCCCTTCCTTCTTCTGTGTTTCTGAGCCAGGCATTCTTACACTGGGGGCGCGATAAATTTGGGATTAAAGTTTATCGAAAACTGTTTTTGACATTGGTCGCTAAGACAATTATATTTCTATTTTAACCAACAAGGGAGCGAAAGAATGGTACATGAGTTTGTTATATCCAGCTACAAGATCTGAGGAATAAAACGAGACACCGCAGTAAATTAGCTGTACCCGCTATTCACTGTGTGGATCGTTTGCTGCAGTTACGTCACCTATCGGGAAAAAAAGGTTTGACTTCCATAAAACGCCAGCACATTTTGCATTAAAGTGTGCCGACCACATGCATTATTAGCCTGAAATATCTGCCTCCAATTTGCTCCATTTTTTATTGTAGGCGCTTTGCAGATTAAGCCACCATCGGCGAACGTGGAAAACATGCAATGTAGGCCTTGACGCCATATATAATGCATTCGCAGGTGGCTTTTTGTCTAAAGAGTTGCAGTCCTTTTTTGCATTTGGCGGAATACGCATTTTATCGAATGCATTTTACTAGATTTTAAATGTATTACTCGTGTGTCCAATCAAAACTATCAATAATTCAAGAAGACTTTGATAAGACGAGAGAACGTTATGAAGTAAATATATCTTATTTTGTATACTACAAGATTCTCCGTGTCTGCAGTTCTGAATCATATATGACCTTCATCCTAACTGTGTTGATTTGCTTCTATATTGGCGTCCTGAAATGCATGCAGCTGATTTAATTTTGTTTGTTTCCAGACGGCGTGAACGTATCATTACAGTAAAAAAACACGCAACTTAAAAATCTAGTTGCATGTTGATTCCTCTATAAAACATACAAATAAAACGTAAAAAATCCCTTTCTTTTGCAACACTATTTACATGAATGTTAGGTAAGTTCTAAAAAAGTTTAATCTGATGATGGTCTCGCGTCCCGGCAACGTCAGTTCTCTTGTACACTTGACCAAAAGTTTATAACCAGTAAAGTTCGATACCTTGAAGTGCTGTACATTTTACTCTATTCATATAGGTCAGTGCTGACAGACAATCATGTCCGCGGGCAGGCATGCCCAAAATACGTTGCCGAATTAAGCATCATTTTACTTCCATGATAATGAATATCAACATATAAATTGGTGAGCATACGTTCGCCTTCGACAAGTTCTCTTTAGGCCTGTGCATCCCTACGTTATTGAAATAATTAAAATATTCTAGTTGGTTGAAAGATGTGGTGTTGTTGTCATCAGGGGCGGGGACCTGCAAGGTGCCCTACAGCTATTCAAAATTACTTGGACAGCGTCTGTTGGCTACAACAGAAGCACCTGCCATCAGGCTACGCAGACCGGGACTGTGCGCCCAAAAGGCCGTCTTCGCAGCGCCGCAATTACTATGGGCAAAGTCGCTAACACAACCGCACACGTCTTATCACCGGCCTCGGAAACGGGTGCCCCCACAGACAAACAGGTCCCCAATTCAAACGCGTTCACCGTATCTCCTCTTTTTGCCGACGGTCCGGCTGGACGCTGACATGTTGACCTCGATTCCCCCACCCCCACTGACCCTGACAAAAACATCACTACAGCTTTCCACCAAACGGCAGAAATGCGCAAAATGCTTTGCCGAATTAAGCACCACTTTAAAATATTTGAGTACGTAATAAATATGCTCGTTTTGAACTCGCAACATTCCCCTTCGGTCTGATTTCATCGGCGCATTCCCGTAACGCATCAGTAAATCTGATAATCAGGCTATGTACAAGCGGAACAGAAATTACGCATAGCCATCTGGTCAGTTAAGACTCTTAATTCAGTTTTTTTTCCTATCCTAGTCCGTGTCTTGATAATTATTTAGGATTTTGGCTTGTGTGTCTACTATCTTTACTATTTACCGTTTCAACATCGATGTCGTGAGAATCCGAAACCTATAACGGATATGCTGGCTTTCACCCATAATACTGCTTGGTTAACGAGCATACCGAGTCCCAAGGACTGTTGATTTATCTGATAAGAGCAAAGCTCAGAGGGATGTCATCTAAGGATGACGCTCTCACGCTTCGGATGTTTCGCTATTGGTACAGAGCAACGCTTTCTGGCTTCAGGAAGCATCCCCATTTAGGGACAGCAAGTTATTGCATATTTATACCAATAATGGAGAGTAGTTGCCTGGATTGGCATACAAATGGCACCACGAGCAAAAGAAAGTAGGACAAAACTGTGTCTGCTGGTTTATTGTCATGCAGTGTCATTTCAGGATTTGAGGAAGAACTTTTCTATTCATCGCCACATTACTCGGTGTCAGATAGTTGCTTCTGGTCAGCAGGCAACCCAGGCTTTGAGTGGTGTGTGTATACTTCTAACGGCTTCCGAAACTTTAAAAATAGGAGATAAGATCGCTGGAACAAGAATTTTATTTGCTTGACGTTTCGGATTCTGTCGTGAATACCTTATCACAGGTAATAATAGAATGGTGTGAAATATGCACAGATTGCGCAGTATTTATAAATTGTAGTGGTGACCCGCTTGCGCACGACTTTGGATAACGAAATCACGGCAATTAATTACTCGAAAACAAATTGCCAAAACACAACCGCACAAATTACGACCCCTAGCGGCGGTTGCAGGAACTATATAATTATAGTGCGCATGCGGGTGGTCGCTATGAAATATAAATACAGCGCAATCTGTGCATATCACCCCAATCTGCATGTGCCTCACACCATTCTACAGTAACCTAGGATTAAGGACAGACAGAATCGGAAACGAAATGCTTGCTCTAGTGATCGCATTCGATTCTGCTGAACGGCTTCCTGGAACTCGCATTTTCGTTTGTATCGGCAATTCCGAGACTTTCTTTTTGTACGGTAGGGCTCTAAAAATAGGTTACTGATGCTGTAGAGTCTCTGGTGTTGGTCGGGTATAGCAAATGTTGACGTGGTTAGTTGGTTCCTCTGAACATCCGTCAAAAGTATGCAAACTGGAAGTCAAGTCTGCATACGAGCATGGTCGAATATGCACAAGCAGTGATGAGATAAGATGTTAACTGTCATGTCGTGGCTCATGCGACGGGACCCGGCCGCACCTTTAAGATGGAAACTCTCGCAAGGGGGGGGGGCAGTCGCTTGAGCCATGAACTGCTTGTGTCCTGGCTCGCAGTCGAGTAAAAACCCCAACGTCCTCGCGCCCTATATTAT